CTGATCCATTGCAGCTCATTTTTGTGTATAATGTGGGGTAGGAGTTGAGATGCCCTTTTTTTACTATGGACGTCCATTAGTTCCAGCATCTTTAATTGAAAAGACTATCCTTCCTGCCTTAAATTACCTTAGCACCTTTCCAGGTCTATTTGTGGACTCTCCGTGCTACTCCATTGATCAATACGTATCACACTGTTCTGATTGCTGTACCTGATAGTAAGTCTTGATAACAGATAGTATCTTCAATTTTGTTCTTCTTTTTCAAAAGTGGGGTTTTTTTTTTCCATTTTAGGTCTTTTGCTTTTCAGAATCAGTTTGTTGATTTCTGCCAAAAGTCTGCTGGAATTTTGAGTAGGACTGAATTAACTCTAAAGGTCAATTTGGTGTTAATTGACATCTTAACAATACTGAGTCTTCTGACCTATGACCATGGTATATCTCCATTTATTTAGGTTTTCTTTTAGTAGTATTTTTTTCAAAAACACTAAGCGTGCCAAGACAGATAAATGGAGAGAGAACAGTCTCAGTGTTCAGACAAGTGGGTATCCACGTGCAAAAGAATGATGCTGAACCCCTACCTCACACCACACGCAAAAACTAACTCAAACTGAATCAAAGACCTAACTATAAGAGCTAAAATTATAAAACTCTTAGAATAAATCACAGGAATAAATCTATATGACCTTGGATTAGGCAGTGGGTTCTTAGATATGACACCAAAGCACCAGCAACAAAAGAAATATAGACAAATTGGGCATCATCAAAATTAAAAAATTTTGTGCTTTGAAGGACACCATCAAGAAAGTGAAAAGATAACCCACAAACTAGGAGAACATTTTTGCAAATCCTATATCTGACAAGGGACTTATAGATAGAAATATACATATAAATAACACAACTTAATAATAAAAAGACAATCCAATTAAAATATGAGCAAAGGATCTGAATGGGTAGTTCTCCTAAGAAGATATAGTGGCAATATAATGAATATATTGGCCAAGAAGTACATGAAAAGATGGTCAACATCGTTAGCTATCAGGAAAATGCAAATCAAACCAGAATAAGATACCACTTCACATCCACTAGAATGGCTATGATAATATTTTTTAGTCAATAATAACAAGGATTAGAAGAGGATATAGAGAAATTAGAATGTTCAAACACTGTGGTTGGAATTGTAAAATAGTGCAGCCACTTTGGAAAGCAGTCTGGGGTTCCTTCAAAAGGTTAAACATAGAATTACCATATGATCCAGTGGGTATATCCACTCCTAGGTATATACCCAAGAGAAATGAAAACGTGTGTCCACACAAACACTTGTACATGATTGCTCAAAGCAGTATTGCTCAAAATAGCCAGAAAGTGAAAACAATCCGAATGTCCATCAACTGACGAATGGATACATAAAATGTGACGCATCCATAATATGGAATATTATTTGCCAATAAGAAGAGATGAAGTTGTAATCCATGCTACAACATGCACGAACCTTGAAAACATTATGCTAAATGAAAGAAGCCAGTTACGAAAGACCACATAATGTCTGATTCCATTTATACGAAACATCCAGAATAGGCCAATCTATAGAGACAGAAAATAGATTAGTGGTTGCCTGGGATTGGGGGCGGGTGGAGGAAGGGGGGAATGAGGATGGAAGGCTAAAGGGTCCAGGGTTTCTTTGGGGGGAGATGAAAAAATTTTAAAATTTATTGTGACGATGGTTGAACAACTCTGAATATACTAAAATCCGCTGAATTCTATACATTAAATGGTTGAGTTATATGGTATGTGAATTACATCTCAATCAAGCTCTTATTTTTAAAAAGGAACTTTAAAAAAAAATACTGTGCAAACAACAACAAAAAATTTTGCAAAACCAGTATAGCTCCTGGGTCATCCATTTGCACCCTCTCATTCAGGAGATTCAGAAGAATTGGCCACATGAATAGCGTTTATATGTCTTTTGTCAAAATATTAAGTAGAGACCCACACTGGGTTCCTAATCTTCCTTCTGCCAGGAGACTGAGTCAAAGTCTCAGGGAAAATTCGTCTCTGAAAGTGGGTGGATGTTTTCCCTCGTAAGACAACAGCAGCCACGGTATGCAACATGCATTGTTTTTGCATTTGCTGCCGAGAACCTTTACCGTGAGGTCGAGGTCAACTTGTAGATAGCAATCTGTGACTCCTGAAGCATGACGGTGTGCACACTTTCTGCGTCCATACATGGACCCAATCGCCACTTGGCTTGTTTGGGTTGGTTTAAGCTACAGACTGACTTAGGCTTTTCTATGCAAGCTGCGTATACACTCCAAACACAGACCATTTGTCACCTTGGGGGTAAAAATCTGACGAGAATGACATAAAGTTGTTTGGAGCATTTAATTGATTTTTACTGGGCGAATGGCCCAAGGGACCAAACTAGTTAGGAGATAAGCCAATCCTCAACAGGCTTCTCTGTTATTTGCCTACCATTGTCACAGTTTTTGCTGCACGTAATACAATGGTTTACTGAAGATTTTTCTTTAAGTGCATTTCCCTTTTATTTCCACTTAAGTGTATTTATGAACTTAAAGCAAAGGCCAGTATCTCTTGCTGTAAACAGAAGATCTCTCTTAAAAATAAGCCCAGTGGAAACAGAATGTTGTTTATTCTAAGTGGCTCCTGTTGCTTGACACGGCTCTGAATCTGAGGCCTCATTGTTCAGCTGGGAGCTTAGCAGGACCCAGGGAGATGTTAACGACCTGTTTGTACCAAACTGAGACTTTCTCCTTGACTGAATCAGAACGATCGGGTGGGAATGGAAAGGGGCAGACCTCAAGAGGCCCTTTGTCTCTTTCTTTCACAACTGTTTACTGGAGCCTTATGCGCTGTTCACCTATGAGGCCTTGGGGTACCGGACGATACAAGACAGACAAAGCCCCGGTTCTTCCCAAGTCTATAGTCATGGATAATGATGTATAAGAAGGAAGTAACATATGCACCCCTCACAGTGCCTGGATCGGGGTAAATATCTAGTACCTTGATGTAGCTCTCGTAGTTGTCATTATCATAATTACTATTATTTTATTACCCCAGAGCAGGAAACGGGCCCTCTGGGGAAAGGTGGGGCTGGATGAGTCTGTGAATGTCTGTCTTACAGCCCTGATGGCCAGGGCCAGCACACGGAGCTGGATTTCCATCAGACAGCAGAGGCGCTGGAGGTAGAGGGGAAAGCCTCCAATGCTTCGGCCGGGAAGGCGAGGGATGTTACTGTGTGAGAAGGTCAGGTCAGGAGTGAACATGGTCGGACACGTTTAAGATCTCTGTTTGGGTATGAAGGTGTGCAATTACTCATTTGGCTGTTTAGCGGAGTTCCAGGCATTTGTGGTGCCAAATACCACCAGCTTAGTATTCTTCGCTAAAAGGAGTCTCTTCTTCAGTTATTCCAGCATAAAGTAACAGAATTGAGTCCCGGTGGTCCTAACTGGGGTTGTGTGAGCACCTCCCCAGACTAGGAGTGGAGATCAATCTGGCAACTCACAGAGGCTGGGGGAGGAGCAGTTCGCCTGAGGAAACATCGGAGCCAGGGGAGAGGATGCTGGCCAAGCAGGCCCTGCACTGCCTGCCACAGTGCCCCCAGAACGACAGAGGCTCCGAGAGGAAGGCCAGGGTCTTTCCAGCCAGGGTGTCAGGACAGCTACATGAAGGAGGTGACCTTCGACAGGGCTGGGGTGCTCTTGCACTGTATCCGGGGACAAGCCAGGAGAAGCAGGTATTTCCTGAGAAGGCATCCTGTGCCGGGCTCTGTGGCAAGCATCTTGGTTCATCTCCACAGGAACCCTGTCTGCTCATACAGACAGGAAACAGAGTCTCGGAAAGGCTAGCCATTCCTGCACGACCACAGCCAGCAGCCGAGGCTCCTGGACCCCCTCACCCCATTCCAATCCGTGTCCACAGAGCAGCTAGAGTGTTCTTTTCCAGTCGCAGATTCGACAGCCTCACACCTCCACGCCTCCAAATGTGCCAATTCTCTAGGATTGAAACCCAAATCCTTATCCCGGGCACAAGGTGCTGCATGGCCTGGCCCTGCTCACCTCCCCAGGCTGCCTTCCCCTCACAGCCTTTGTCCCTGCACATGAGTGCCCCCCTTCACCTAGTTAACGCTGCTGCCCTTTGACTCTCTGCCTTTCTGGGGACTCTCAGGCTTCTGGCCCTCCCCTCTGTCATAACAATGGCTGACACTTGGATGCCTGGCATTAATCCACACGCTACATCTTTTCCTTCAGTCTTCCCAGCAACCCTGTGGGGTGGAGGCTGTTATTATCCCCATTTTACAGATGTGGAAACTGAGGCACAGAGAAAATGGTTCGCTCAAAGTCACACATCTAGAAAGTGGTGGAGCCGAGATTCAAAGCCAGACATTCTGGCTCCAGCATCCTTTCTTCCCCACCACCCTTTACTGCCTCTGGGATCTCAGGACCCAGGCTCCCATCCTGCCCAGCACATTCTGGAAGTATGTGATTTTGATGGGTTGTTTGATTAACATCTGTCTCACCTGCTAACAGCTTGTCATGATGGCAGCTAACAGATTGAGCGCTTAGTCTGTGCTAGGTACTATCTTCAGCATTTTTACACATCACCTCATTTCACCCTCTCAGCAATCCTATAAATTAGGTACAGTTGTCCCCATTTTACAGGTGGCGTACCTAAGGAGTTAAGAGCTTAAGTAACTCGTCCACTAGGCTGGAAATTCCTAAAGGGCAGAAACCTTGTCCATTTTGCTCATCATTGAGTCCAGAGGGACTAATTCAGTGCCTGGCATACAGTAGGGACTCAATAAATGCTTTCTGGTTGGTTGGATGGATAGATGACAGTTGGCAGGAAGGAAGGGAGGGAGGGAGGGCTGGGGTGTGCAGCCTGGTGTGCCTGTCTCGCGTGCCCACGCTCCGGTCACAACTGGGACATCCTCGGATGCGAGGCTGATGTTGTGTCTGACGTGGCTTTCCCGTGTCCTGCTGCAGGTGCCACAATGCACGTGAAGAAGTACCTGCTGAAGGGCCTGCACCGGCTGCAGAAGGGCCCCGGCTACACATACAAGGAGCTGCTGGTGTGGTACTGCGACAACACCAACACCCACGGCCCCAAGCGCATCATCTGCGAGGGGCCCAAGAAGAAGGCCATGTGGTTCCTGCTCACCCTGCTCTTCGCCGCCCTCGTCTGCTGGCAGTGGGGCATCTTCATCAGGACCTATCTGAGCTGGGAGGTCAGCGTCTCCCTCTCCGTCGGCTTCAAGACCATGGACTTCCCCGCCGTCACCATCTGCAACGCCAGCCCCTTCCAGTAGGTGGTCCCCGGAGCACCGGCAGGCTGGTGCGCGGCTTTTCTTCTCGTCTTTCTCCTGTCCTTCCAGCTTTCCTTTCCTTCCTTCCCTTTCTTTCTTTCCCTCCCTTCTTCCCTCCTTCCTCTCCTTCTCTCCTTTCTCTTTCTCCTTCTCTCTCTTTCCCTCTTTGTTTCCACCCCTTTGCAGCCAGTAAGATTCAAAATTCATAAACTTCCTAGCCTTAAAGAAAGCAGTAAAATATCGGGTAGGCCCTTCAGGCATGCTGGTGCCTATTTATTGATTCATTTTTTGAGCACCTACTATGTGCCAGGCCCTGGGACTACGTCAGTGAAGAAAACAAAGTCCCTGCCCTCCTCACAGCCTGCCAGAGAAAACAGACATTAATCTTTCCCCCCCATCGATATTGAATTAATTATAATTGTGATGATAAAAAAATATATAGCTACCACGCCTTGAGTGCTTATGAGATGCCAGGCAGTATGTTGGGTATTCTTTGGGTAAGTTGAGTAATTCTGATCTACACAGCCACTCTGTTGTGGCCCCAATTTACAGATCAGGAAACAGAGATTCAGAGAGGTGAGGGAACTTACCCAGAGACACACAGTGGACAACTGTGAGATTTGAATCCAGGCCTGACCTGACTCCAGAGCTGCCACTGTTTAACCCCTTGATGGCAAGGCCTATGACAGGGACGCACAAGGGGACCCAACCTAGTCAACGTTAAAGAGAGGCAGGGGGTCAGTCAGAGAAAATGCCCCAAGGAATGAGTAGAAGTTAGCCAAGCAGAGTGAAGAGGACCCAAACTGGAGGATACAGCGCATGCAAAGGCCCTGGGGTGAGACAGAGCTTGGTGTGTCCAAGGAATTGAAAGAAAAGCCAGCATGGCTAGTCACAGAGAACATTCTTACCCAAAGAAGGTCCTGGAAGTGAACTCATACTTCCCAATTACATTTCCAGTTATCAGAAATTCCCTCCTTTCTAGTAATACGGCTCCTGCTTGGGTGAGTCCTTGGCGCTACCCAAGAGGATCCTTAATAATTATAATAACAATGCTGTGTCCACGCACTGTACCAAGTGCTCTATGAGCTTCTCCTCATTGAATCCCCCCAGCCCTCTAGGGTACATATTTTAATCCCCCCCACTCTGTAGATGAGAGAACAGAGCCTCAGAGAGGTTAACTTGCCCTAGGTCACACAGATATTGAGTGTCATGTTGGGATTTGAACCCAGAGCCCCTGCAATGACCCAACGAGCTCCACAGCACTGTGGCCCTCGAGGCTGTAATAGGACCCCTCTGCGGCCCCCACCCTTCCCAATTTCCTCTTCCTGTGTGCACAGAGGTGGCTGGTTTAATGGTTGGGGAGAGGCGATTTCTGTGGCCAATGTCACCTTTGTGCCAGGACCTGGGCCTGTGTCCAGGGTCTAGTGCTCTTGCTGTAGGACATCCGCCAGCCAGCGCTGACACACACCACCCTGGAGACCACATTCTGGGGCAAGGTCTGGGGTACACTGGGTCTGGAATGACCGGGGTGCAGGGCCTGGGGTCCCCACACAGTGCCTGGTGGGGACACTCCGCGGTATGGACACATTTCCACCAGACTGCCTCGTCGTCGTGTCCAGCACGGGAGCCTGCAGGAGCTGAGAGCAGATCCTGGAGCCCGGCCCTGCAGTCGCAGCCATCTTCTCCCTTCTGAAACATGCTCCTGTCTCCAGAATCACTGCTGGAGGATGAGGACCTCGGGGTCGCAGACCTGCCCTCCTCCTTGCATTTCCTATCCCCTCCCAGGAGCGGGGATCAGAACCCCTGTGCACAAACAGCATGCCCTCTGGAACTCGCCAAACCCGCTTCCAACCCTGGCTCTCCCCTCATCAGCGGGCGAGCTTGGGACATCAAGCAACTCCCAGAACATCAGTTTCTTTATCTGTATGTGGGGATGACCATACAATTGCGGCAAAGATTAAATAAGACACAGACAGCACCTAGCACCTGGCACATGCTAAGTGATCAATATCCGTAGCTCCTATGATTCTTCCTCACTAGAATGTGAGTTTCATAAGGAAAGAGACCCAGTCGGTCCTGTTTGCTACTGTGTCTGCTGTGCCTTGCAGGGAGCCTGGCGCATAGTAGGTACTCACTGAATACTTAGCGAGTGGGTGGGTAGATTGACACATGGATGCACCGGTGGGTGGATAGAGGGGCAGGTGCTTGGGCAGGGCATTCTTCTCACACGTGGAGTAGGAGGGGACCCCAGACTGTCATTGCTCAGCCTCACAGCTAGCCTTTGCCCCCCGACCCGCCCTCTCCCCCACCCAGGTATTCCAAAGTCAGGCATTTGCTGAAGGACCTGGACGAACTGATGGACGCGGTTCTGGAGAGGATCCTGGCTCCTGAGCCAAGCCATGCCAACGCCACCGAGGCCCTGAACTTCACCATCTGGAACCACACGCCCCTGGTGCTTATCGATGAGCAGAATCCTCACAAGCCAGTGGTTCTCGACCTCTTTGGGGACAATCACAACAGCTCAGCAAGCAGCAGCCCGGCACCAGGAAGGACCTGTGATGCCCAGGGGTGCAAAGTGGCCATGAGACTAGTAAGTGGCCCTGGGCACACGTCAAGCAGTGGGGTCTATCCAGTGAGGCTGATGGGAGTTTCTTTCCTTTGATGATCCGGGTCTAACTGGGAAAAGGCAGGCTGGAAGCCAGGGCCTATTTTGTGTGTTTGCTGAGCTTTTTGAAAAATAGAAACAGCTGGTATGTTAGTCAAGCTGCTTTTGGATGCAAGTGACCCAGTTCAAACTAAGCAAAACAGGGAATTCATTGGCTCACATACTAAGAAGTCTTGGCACATTGGGTTCAGGTATGGCTGGATCCAGGTGTTCAAATGCTGTCATCGAGACTTGATCTCTCTCCATGTTGGCTCAGTTTTTCTCTCAGTTGACTTCACTCTCTGGCAGGCCTTCCCCATGCAGAGGGCGCTGACAATGCCAGAAGTACACCCCACCAACTCAGCACTCTCCCCAGAAACAGAGTCCCTCTTTCCCAGCAGCCCCAGCAAAAGTCCTGGGGCTGACTCATCAGGTCACATGCTCACCCCTAAATCTATCCCTGTGGGGTGGAGGATGGGCTCTCATGATGGACCAATCCAGGTCAGTCCTGGAGCTGGGGGTGATGTCAGCCTCTGTCAGACCATGTGGACTGAGCAAGAGGCAAAGGGTGGTTCCCTGAAGGAGGAATTAAGTCTTATTATCAGAAGACATAGACATAAATGTTGGGCAGTGAAAACCCACAGCTGTGCAGGACAGATGCGTAGCGTAACTGCCCTGCACTGGGATGCTGGGAGCCTGCAGCCCGCAGGTGGGAAGATGGTCGCTGTCAGGCCTGGATCCCCTGGGGAGCTGCATGATTCTGCCGGTCCCTGCACCCCACTCTCGGGGAATCTGAGTGGGCAGTTCTGGACCCGGGGCCCAGGAATCTGTATTGTTTATGGGCTTTCTAGTGACTTTGATGATCCCCTTGGATGGGGACTCAGGTTGGGGCCTCTGTCATTTTGCTACACAAACCAGAAAATAGCATGAGGCTCCAGAGCCTGACATCTTTTTGGTGCAGTGACCCAGCTTCCCGTGTCCATGTCCTCATCTGTAAAGCAGGCTTGTCCCTGGTGCTGCCCCGACTCTCAGGGTCAGGCCCTGTGTGTGCGTGTGCATGCATGCATGTGTGAACACATAGTGTGGGCGCCCGTGCATGCGTGTGTGGGCATGTAGTGCATGGGGGGCATGTAGTACGTGGGCCTGCGCATGTGTGTGTGAGCATGTAGAGCGTGTGTGTGTGCGTGTGGACACGTAGTGCGTGTGTGTGCATGCAGTGGGGGGCTGCTGCTGCCACACCTTCCTTAACCCCTCTGCCTCCCCGGGCCTCAGCCTCGCGGTGATGGGGTGGGGTTGCCGTGAGAAGTAGGCGGGTTAGTAAAGCCCTGGGACAGAGCCCCAGAGAGGGAGTGTTATTGTCGTCTCCCTTGAGGGTGACAAGGAGGCCTGAGAACAGTGCTCTGGCCGCCCCGAGGGCTGTCTCAGAAGGTCAGGGCTCCTGGCCCCCAGAAGGGAGGCCCACTCTGAGGCAGGCAGAGGCAGAGTGGCCCAGGCAGGAACCCAGGGCTGAGTCTGTGCTGTGTCTGGGGACCTGGGCTTCTGGGGGAGGGGCAGGTTGGCTGGCTGCAGCAAAGAGGGGGGGCCCTGCCACCCCGCCTCGGGGGCACAGGCGGACAAGGCCCAGGTCCTCCCCCCGCGGAGGGCGGGCAGAGCACAGAGACTTGATTCCCTCGTGGTCCACATGGCCTCCAGCGGGCCTGTCCCTATACATGCCCACGTGAGCACTCGTGAGGTGCCACTGTGGAATGCAGGTGTGTGGGCTTGGGGGGGCATGTGGATGTGTGTGTGCGTAGTTGTGACCATGCCGTCATGTGGCATCCATCTCTGTACCTATGTGTGTGTACGTGTGTGCACGTGTGCGCGTGCATGTGTGTGTGTGTATGTTTCCTTATGTGTAAGGCTGTTTTTGGGGTTGGCTGGTGGCTCTGTGGGTCCTTGTGACTGTGCGGCCATGTGTGAGGACGCGGCCCCTGAGCATGTGTGAGCAAGAGTGTACATGGGGGTGCCACTGGCCCAGCAGCTGGTGGCCCCAGCCCCAAGGTGCGGCCAGAGGCAGGGTGCTGGCAGAGCACTCGTGCCCATGCCCTGGTGCGGTGGCTGGGGCCCTGCCAGCCACTCCGGCACCCACAGGAGCCCCTCTTGGCCTCCACAGTGCAGCCTCAATGGGACCGTGTGCACCTTCCGGAATTTCACCAGTGCCACCCAGGCCGTGATGGAGTGGTACGTCCTGCAGGCCACCAACATCTTCTCTCAGGTGCCGCGGCAGGAGCTGGTGGCGATGAGCTACCCTGGTGAGCAGCTGATCCTGGCCTGCCTGTTCGGGGCGGAGCCCTGCAGTCACAGGTGAGAGCCACCCGGGGCTCCTGGAGCAGAGCCTGAGCAAGGGGTGCTTTGAAGGCCCTGGGACATGCTGACGGCGTGGCTTTAGGAAGAGTCTGTAAGGAAAGCAGGATCGGGAAGGAGGGAGGGCGAAGCGAGGATGGGCTCACAGGAGACGTCTGGGCCTGGCCTGATTCACAGGGGCTCTGGAGCACCAGCGAGGGGCCAGCCTTTGTATGTGTCCCCGTCACCCATCATTGGCTGTGTGCCACCCCCAAGAGGATGGTGCAGGTCTCCTGACTCCCCAAGCAAGGGGGCTGGCGAAGGGGCAGCCGGGAGCTCTTAGCCTCTGACACTCCAAAGCCGGGGACCTGGGCGGGTAGCCCAGCACCAACTGCCCTCAGTTTTCTCATCCCTAAAATGGGCAAAACCATGCACATGGCCTAGAATTACCGTGGAGAGTAAGTGGGCTCCGTCAGCATGTAGAGCAGGGTCCTGGAGGTGTTCGCTGCATATCCTTTCCCAGACGACCCCAATGTCGAGAGGACGGCAGAATGAGGGTGACACTGACCCTGGACGCCTGGGTCCTCTGACCGCTGGGCTGCAGACCCACACCTCCCTCGCCTCCCCTGCTCCTGACAGCTCCCCTGGGCCTGCGAGCCAAGCTTTGCCCGGTCCTCCTGGCCTGGGGCTTCAGGGTCTCCCACGCCAGGCCTCTGGAGAGGGGGCTGTTGGCTGAGTCTGCCCGCTCTGGATGAGTGACAGACTCCAGTTTCACCCTCCAGGGACAGGCCTCGGTGCATCTCTCTCAGCTCCTGAACCTTCAGGAAGCTCTATTGAGAGGCTGCTGACAGCTCTGGATCCCCGGGCCCCCAGTGTGCGTAGGCGCACTCGGGCGGGCGTTTTTTGGGTGGTGTCAAGGCTCCCTGAGCAGGCGGAGCTGCACACCTGGCCCCCTGGTGTGAATCCGGGAAGGCAAGCCCCACAGGTGGAAGAAGGACAAGATGTCCCTCTGAGGGGACATCTCCTGCCTTGTGGGCTGCCTCGGGGCCGGCTGATTCAGGCTGGGTCCAGCCCCTCTCTTGGCCGGGGGACTTGGTTCAGGGCACCCTTACCCAAACACGCCTGGCGGCCCTGCCAGGATGCTGGGGGTGCCCCGGGGACTAGTGTCGTCATGCCCCCAATTAATCTCTCCCCTCTCAGCTAAAAGAGAGACTACTGTGCCTTCCATGATCGGGCCCATCAGCTCAGCGAGGATACACACGCCCCAGAGGGCAAGCGGGCCGGCAAAGGGGGATTTGCTGCCATGTCCCTGGTGCCTGAAGTGGGCGCTTGTCCCACCCAGCGCAACCCCATTGTTTGAAGGCATGTGCTCCGCGCAGCACACAGTCCCTGAACTGAGCCACCACTCATGGGCTGTGCCGGCTCTGGAGGCCACCGGGCTGGGCCGGACCGACCTGGCCCCCCCAAAGCAGGTCCCACGTGGGTCACATGGACTGGGGGTGAGGGTGGGTGATCCCCCAAAGAGAAGCCGAGGAGCTGTGAGCAGAAAAAGAGGAAATAGGTGGTTGATGGGCAGGCAGAACACCCAGTGTTGGCCACACAGCTTCTGTGGCCGGGAGCAGTCTGGTGAAGGGGGTCGAGGCTGCACTGGTGGTGAGACCATCAGGCTCAAATCATCGCCCCACCTTATACACTGCGTGACCCGGAGCAAGTTTAGCCCTGAGGGCTGCAGCCTGCCTGCTCCCTGAAAGCGGGTGACCGCCACACCCTGCCTCAGGGTTATTGCGAATATTAAAGGAGTGAATATGCATGAGAGGCGGACGATAGTGCTGGGCTCCATAACTAGTAGTTATTGTTATCATCAAACCCACATTTGACAAGGAACTCATTATTTAATAATAATGCTAACGTTTATTTTTTTTTAATTTTTGGTGAGTGAGGAAGACTGTCCCTGAGCTAACATCTGTGACCATCTTCCTCTACTTTTTGTATGTGGGATGCAGCCACAGCACGGCTTGATGAGCGGTGCGTAGGTCCGCACCGGGGATCCAAACCCAAGAACCTCTGGCCACTGAAGGAGAGCACAGGAACTTAACCACTATGCCACCAGGCTGGTCCCCCAATAAGGCTAACATCTGTTGAGCCCTTCTCACATGCCACGCATTATTCTTAGCACTTTACGTGTGTAAAATTAGTTTAACCCTGGCAATGAGCTCGTGAGAAATGTACTATTACTTTGCCCCATTTTATATGACACAACTGAGGCACAGAGAGGTTAAGCAAAGTCTCTGAGGTCACACAGCTGGTGAGTGGCAGAGCTGGCAGTCTGGGCCAGGCCCACCCTGCGTCACTCATCAGAAATCGAGAACCTCACTGTCCCTCCCCGCCCACCTTTCCCAAGCCTCGTGCTCCAGCCCTTGGCAGGTCTGAGCGGAAGGTGCACCCACGACCTGGCACAGAAACCTCAGTCCATCTCATCTCTCACCTCCCCTTCGCTCTCACAGCTGGCTGGTCCCCAGCCTCCCTGAGTCAGCCTCAGACGTGGTGCCAGAGGACACGTGCCTCTCTGCCTTCCCAATGCTGGGCTTCAAACGCCAGCCCGAGCTTCCTCACTCTCTTTCTGACTCCATCCTCCCGCCTCGTACATAGCAAATGCTCAAGACAGCAGCTGCCATTGTAGGAAAACATGAGCCACCTTTGGACCCTGATACCAAACCGCCTGGGCTCAAATGCCAGCTCTGTGTGCTGTTGGACGCGCTGTTTAGCGTCTCTGGGCCTCGGTTTTCTTGTCTGGAAAATGGAGACAGTGAAATGACCTCACAGGGCTCTCATGGGGATTAAATGACTTAACATTAAGATAAAGTGCTTGGAACAGGGCTTAGCACATGGTGAGAATTATATGAATATTTTAAAAGTAAACTTTTTTTTTTGAGGAAGATTAGCCCTGAGCTAACATCTGCTGCCAATCCTCCTCTTTTTGCTGAGGAAGACTGGCCCTGAGCTAGCATATGTGCCCATCTTCCTCTACTTTATATGTGGGATGCCTGCCGCCGCATGGCTTGCCGAGCAGTGCCATGTCCACCCCGGGAATCCGAATTGGCGAACCCCGGGCCGCCGAAGAGGAACATGTGCACTTAAGCGCTGCTCCAACGGGCCGGCCCCTAAAAATAAACTTTCAATTGTGGAATAATTTTGGATTTATAAAAAAGCTGCAAAGATCTACAGAGAGTTTCTTTACCCGCCTCGCTCAGTCTCCCTATTGTTGACATCTTCCATCGCCGTGGCAATTTGTCGGCACTAAGAGACCAACATGGGCAGGTTACTGTTAACTAAACTTAGCACTTTATTCAGATTTCATCAGTTTCTCCCAGCGACCTTTTCCTGCTCCCGGATTCCATCCAGGAGCCCACATGGCCTTAGCTGTCCTGTCCCGTAGTCTCCTCTGGGCTGTGACAACTGCTCAGACTCCGTGGCTTTGGACGACTGTGACGGTTTCAGAGGACAGGTCAGGTGTTTTACAGAAAGTCCTCCATTTGGGTTTATCTGTTTTTCTCAACTGGAGGTTTGGGTTCGGGGGAGGAATGCACAGAAATGAGGTGCCCTCCTCATCACATAGTTCAGGGCATTCCTGGTACCCACACGAGCCCGCGCACGACGTCGTCCTTCCTCGCCTGGATAGGCTTCTGCGAGCTGCGGGACCCCCTCCCCTGCCCGCGCTCCTCACGGTGGGAGCGGGTCTCTAAGCCGAGCCTGGAACCTGGGGCGCGGGTCTTAGGGGCAGAGGGCTGAGCTGCACCTCTCCTAATGAGGGGAGAGTGTGCTATTCGGAATGCTTCTGTAAGGAGGAGCTGTCTGGCCTCCGTTTGTTTATTTATTCAATCATTTATTTATACCCGTGTGGACTTGGGTATATTTGGGTTGTAATCCAATACCACATTATTTATTTTCTTACTCAGATTCTTCCAGCCATGGCCACTGGGAGCTCCTTCAGTTGGCTCCTGTGTCCCTTTAACATGTCCCCATCCATTTATTTATTTTTTTTGAGTACTTCCTTACTTTGCGGCACTACCAGATGCCCCCGCCCTGGAATCAGCCATTTCTCTGAGGAGCCCTGGTTCCTTTTATCGGAGAATGGTATTTAGGAACCAAGATCTAGACATAGATAAGCATTATTAATATTATTATTGCTTTAGGGACTGGCTAGCTAGTTTCTGTTCTGGGAAGCCTTTCCTGACCTCGACCACACAGTACCGTTATTGTTATACTGCTTCCTGCTAGGATGCTCTATTTCCCGGTCTTTTCTGGAGGCTTGCTGTCTGTCTGCATGCCTGGTCCCTGGCCCAGGAAAGGTTTCTGGAGGGAAGCCCCTGCCTCTGGAGGCGGAGGTGGCGGGACCGGGAACAGCCTCTCCAGGGAAAGAGCGTTATCAACAAGCAAATAGTTGGCATGCACGGCGAGACCAAGAGTGCCACCTGGACAGGAGGGCTCCCTCCGCGTCCCGAGCAGCCTCCTGCTCCTGGCTGCAGATGGCCCAGTTCCTCGGGGACACAGTGTCCGCACGCCTCTCGGGCGGGTCTCTCCCTCTCGAGCCGTGCCCAGCTCGAGCTGGTTCGCTCCACTCTGCTCCTTCCTTGTGGCCACAGCCCTGATTCCACAGAATGCAGACTCGGCAGCGCCCGCCCAGAGCTTCCTCCTCCCTCCGGGCCTTCGCCTGTGCCCTGCCACCTGCCGCATGTGCCCTTTCTCCTCCCCACCCTCTAGGCTCGGCTGCCTCTTACTCATCTTTAGAGTCTAGCGCGGGCCTCACCTCCTCCAAGAACCCTCCCCTCACCCGCTCCCCACCTCCCAGCCCCAGGGAGAATTAGGTGTCGCACCTCCGGCCTTATCTCTCTTGATGTCCTTATCACATATTATAATTTATCCAACACAATATTTACTGAGTGTCTGTCTACCATGTGCCGGGACCTGAGGACAGCGCAGTGAGCCGTGGCAGCCAGCTTGTGCTGAGTACTGAGGTATGCTTGGCATCCGACCCTCACCCGAGTCCTTTCGGTGGGACCATTATTACCCCAGTGTTATGGTGGGGAAAGCGAGGCACAGAGAGGGGAGGTAACTTCCCCAAGCTCACCAGCTAGTAAATGACAGAGCCAGAATTTGAATTCAAGCAGGCCGGTTCCCAGGCTTGGGCTCTTAGCCTCCAAGTTCTTTCCTCCTGAGGACAGACAAGACTCCTACCCACACTGGGCTTACGTTCTAAAGCAGGAGGAACTGATAAGCAAGCGATGAACTAGAGAAGATGGTTTCAGATTTGGATGCATGCTGTCAAGGGAACAGCAGTTAGAAACGATGGAGTAACTGGGTAGGGAGGTGACTTTGCATGGGGAGGTCAGGGGAGGGCTCAGTGCAGATGAAACCTGAGGGACAAGGAGAGACCAGTTATTTGAAGAGTTGGGCAGAGAAATATTCCAGGCACAAGGAGCAGCGGCCACAGGGCCTTGGATTTGAAAATATCTGGTAGTGTCGCTGGAGTGAAAGGAACAAGGGGGAGAAGGCCAAAGGAGAGAGTTTGCATTTAATCTGTGAGCAGCCACGAGCCTCTGGGAGGTTCTAAGCAGGGGCATGCCATCTCTGATTCACGACTGAAACAGTCGCCCTGACCACTGAGCAGGAGGAAGATCATGGGGGAGCGAGTGGAGGGAGAGGCTCCTGCAGGAACCCAGGCCGGGTGCTGGCGGCCGGACCGGGAGGGAGCCTCAGGGATGGAGAGACTTGGCCGGGCCAGAGACAGAGTTCAGAAGGAGAGAGTTGCTGTGACACTGCTCCGTGGCCTCCCACGCCCTGGAGCTTCAAGGGCAGGACTGTCCTGTTGGCCTCAGAGGCTGGGGAAGCAGGCCGGATCTGTGTGACAGGGTCAGCTCCCAGATGGGATTTCTGCGCCTGCTCTGCACTCCCCTCCTGCTGGCGCAGAGGCTGGGACAGAAGATAGAGGAAATAAATGGCCTCCTGATCTGAACATAGCGACGAGTGGCAGCTGACCTCGTGGGGTTATTTTGAGAATTAAATGAGAGAATGTATAGAGAAATAGCACAGGCCTGGCCCATAAAAGCTGCTCAGCAAATGTTGTCGTGGAATATGAGGCTCAGAAGATGACTGCCTTTCCGCTGATGTTTCTGGAGCATTTGATGCCCTTGGCCCCATTCTTTCCTGTTTTTGATAAAGTAAGAAGAACAATATAAAAACATCCAAAGACATTTTTAAAGCTATTTCTTATGGAGACCTGAGAACACACAGATAGACAGAACAGAGTACGATGAACTCCTCTGGACCCACCACCCAGATCCAAGGACCATAACTCACTTCTCTCCTCTGCTGTTTATTCTGCAGCAAATCCAGACAGCACACTCTCTCCTCTGTACTGAGCTCAGAACATATCCGTAAAAGAAAAAGACTTTTTTAACAGAACCACAATACCACTATCCCACCTGGAAAAAAATTAACAATAATTCCTCAATATCATCGACTATCTAGTCATGTTCACACTTGAAAATGTCACCTGTTTGTTCGTTTGCTTGTTTGAATCAGGATCCACTTAACGTCTGCATATTTCAAGTGTAAACCAAGTCTTTTAAGTTTCCGTTAATCTGTAGGTTGCCTCCTTTTCCCTCTCTCACAATTTATTTGTTGAAGAAATTGGGTTATTTATCCTGTTGAGGTCTGGACTGTGTAGACGGACTTTCTGTGGTGTCTTTGAACCTGTTCTTCTGTCTCCGGTATTTCCTGTAAGTGGTAGTTAGAGACAGACGCTCGATCCTGGTCAAGGCTGACTTTTTTTGGCAAGGCCACTTCTCCGCATGGAAGGCACACAGCATTGGTCACTACTGGTGCCTATTGCCCAAAGCCGTTCCTTCGTCAGAGGTGCAAAATGATGATCCTCCTATTGTATCACTCTGTCTTCAATTATCAGCTGGATCAAACCAGAGCTCTTTTCACAGCTATATTGCAAGAAAAAAAAAAGTCAGATGGAGCGAGCCATAGTTTAAAAGATTCTTAAGAGACTAACGAATCCCATGTTAACATCATTTGGATCCCGATTTAAACAAATAAGTTGTAAAAACAAAATTGACATTTATGAGATAACTGGAATTTTGAACTGAATATTTAATCATATTGAGAAATTTTGGTTAATTATTTTTAATATGATAGTATTATTTTTTGAGTTCTAACTTTTAGGCATACTTATGGAAATGCTTACAAATAAAATTCTGATGTCTGAGATTTGCTTCAAAATAACATGGAAGCCGGGGGCGGGCAGAGATGAAACATGACTGGCCGTGGGGTGATGGTTGTTGAAGCTGGCGTGGGCTTCGTTCTCTCTACTTTTTCGTGTTTGAAATGTTCCATATCAAAAAAAAAACTTTGAATTCTTTGAAACTACATCATGCAGTTGCTGCTTGTGCGAGCATCTTTATGGAAACGGTTCTTGTTGAATTATTTCCTTAGGAAGCGTTTCCACGGCCTAAGAGAGAACCTCGTATGGGGCTCCTCACGCCTCGTTTCGCAGCCCTCTCTTTCCTTGGCCTCTGCTTCCGCCCTCGCCTGCGTCCCCCGCCTCCCTGACCCTCCACTGCGTCCACTTCCCTCTTTCCCCTGGGTTTCCGAGTTTCCCAGACAAGCCCACCTGCTGGATTCGGCAGCTCCTTGGACCACTCCCTGCCCGGCACTGCCCTCTCTTCTGGTCTCTATTAGTGTCCTGTGGCCACCATCTCAAAGTACCGCAAACTAGGTAGCTTAAAACAACAGAGACGTATTCTGTCACAGAGGAGGCCAGAAGTCCCAAATCAAGGGGTCAGCAGGGCTGGGCTCGCTCCAGTGGCGCTGGGGAGAAGCCCTTGTCGCCTCTTTCAGCTTCTGCTGGGCCCAGGCGATGCTCGGCCTGTGTCTGCCTCCCTCCCATCTCTGTCTCCATCTGCACGGGGCTTCTCCTCTGTGCGTGTCTCTCCTCTTCTGTCCCTTATGAGGACACTTGTGATTGGGTTTAAGGTTCACCTGGATAATCCAGGATGATCACGTCTCAAGATCCTTAATGACATCTGCAAATAAGATAGTACTCATAGGTCCCTGGGCTTAGGATGTGGACATAGGTTTTTTGGGGCCACCATTCGATGCAGTTCACAGTCTTACAAGACCCTGTAGATGAGACACATGAAAACTTCAAAGAAATGTGTTTCTCATAATTCATGGCTAAGCCAGAGAGCCTGAGCCCCGACCCCAGAGAGACTGCTTCCGGCCCTCCTTCCCAAGGGAGTCTGGGAATCTCCTCTCACAGAGGCAGGGGGATGGACGGAACGACCTGTTGCTCGCCTCTCCCTTCCTGAGCCTCTCTGAGCAGCTCCACTCTGCCACGAGCCCTGGACAGTGGACGGTCAGGGGAGGCAGCGGCTGGGGTGTGCCCTGCCCTCCAGCTGGTGGTGTTTCTTTTAGGAACTTCACGTCCATCTTCCACCCTGATTATGGCAACTGTCACATCTTCAACTGGGGCATGACGGAGAAGGCCCTCCCTTCATCCAACCCCGGAGCTGAGTTCGGTAAGTCTTGTTCCTCCTGGGGCCAGGGCTTTGAAGAACCCACCACATCAAATCAAATCAAAGACCAAATCACCATGGGCCGTTGAGGGCAGGAGCTGGCTTAGCCGAGGCCGGCGCGGGAGCAGTGGCCGTGCTTGAGCCTCTGCCGGGCGAGGGGAGGCCGGGCAGTGCCCTGTCAGCCATCCCTCACCCGCCACTCGGGAATCCCTGGGGCAGCGACTGCTGCTTCCAGTCTGCTGACGAGCAAAGCGAGGCTTCCGAAGCAGGACAGCGCAGTGGCTGAGAGCTCAAGCTCTTGCCCGGGTGCAAGCCCAGCTCCACCATTTACCGTCTGCGCAAGCCTGAGTCCAGGCCCAGCTTCTCCAAGCCTTGATTTCCCCACGCGAAGATAGTCTCTAGGAACCTAGCAGCCAGCGTACGGCTCGCTGAGTCATTGAGACGTAACGCAGGGAAACATCTTAACACAGCGCCTGTCTGGTTGATGCTCCATCCGTGCCGGATTCTCTGAGGAGTTGTGCAGAACTCGCCCAAGATCACACAGGGAACGTGGGGCAGAGTCCTTCCTCAGCCTCGTTGCTGTGCACTTCTTGAGAGAGACAGAGAGAGGGCCAAGGAGCAAACAGCAGCAGGGAAGTGGGAGGTGGTGATGACAGAGGCGCCGTGTCAGCCTGTCCCAGGGGAGAGCCTGGTGGACTCAGGGTGGCTGTGCTTTCGGGCTGTGTGCCAGGACAGGCGGGAGCAAATCCTCCCCACTCAGGTTCTGACCTCCCGGCCACCATGAGGTGGTCTGTCATTCAGTGACTGTCAGGGCTGCTGGTCCAGGGGACGGGGGGCTGACCCCTCGCGCCGTACCCTGTGCTGCTGAAAATACTGTGTATCTCAGGTGCTACAGCAGTGCGTGCGTGATTAAGATCCGGGAGCCTGCTGTCTGCCTTAGAACCCAGCAACTCCACTTCCTCGCTGGGTGACTTCAAATAAGTCCCTTCGCCTCTCTGTGCCTCGGTTTCCTCATCTGTAAAATGGGGATAATAACAGTACCTCTGCTCTTGTGAGCACCAGTGATATCACGTACAATAAAGCGTTTGGTCTTGCACTCAGCATGCAGCAAGTGCTCAATAAATGCTAGCCTTATTGTCCTACCACCTAGCACAGTCCTGTGGTGCATATGTGGTCTCTGCCCTCAATAAGGGGACAGTCGAGTAGGGAAGGAAGACAGACAATAAACGAAGAGTCGCGTGAGTGGGGCAGGTACTTGGAAAGAAAGTTCCAGAGCTAGGAGAGCATATAACAAAGACCCTGAGGCCTAGTCCAGGTAGTGAGGGAAGGCTTCTGGGGGAAGTGACACTTGGGCCAAGATCTGAAAGAAGAGCAGGAATTTCTAGATGAAGGGTGAGGGCAGGGACAGCATTCCGGAGTGAGGGAACAGCATTCTCGAGGGAATAGCATTTGTGAAGGCCCAGCAGCAGAAAAGGGCATGGAAGCCAAGAGGGACTGAACAGAGAGAATGAGGACCGTTGTGGTCTGAGGTGGGGCCGTGCCGTGCTGTGCCCCTAGATCTTCCCGCCATGTGGAAAAGAGATTATGGGTGAGGAATGGCGGGGAGAGGAGCCCAAGTCAGACAGTGGTGGCTTGGACTGGAGTGGGGGCCTTGGAGAAGGTAAGAAGTCTGGATTTTTGCAAAGCTGGAGCTGCCCTTGGCTAGAGGGGGCTTGGACAAGTGGGTGGGGGTCTCCCCTCAGCCTCAGGGAGTGAGTTCAGGCAGCCCTCGGCCCCACTTTCCCTGCAGGCCTGAAGCTGATCCTGGACATAGGCCAGGAGGACTACGTGCCCTTCCTCACGTCCACAGCCGGCGCCCGGCTGTTGCTTCATGAGCAGAGGTCGTACCCCTTCATCAAAGAAGAAGGGATCTACGCCATGTCGGGGACAGAGACGTCCATCGGGGTGCTGGTGGTATGGCCGCAGCCCAAGGGCAGCAATGGGGGACTGAGGGTGGAAGCCCACCTGCCCAGGACCAACCTCCCACGGCCTGAGAAGAAGGGATCCAGGCCTCCCCAAGCCCAGGCCCTCCCTCGAGGTCCACTGCTGCCTCGCCTTCTGGCTGGAACCCGCCAGGGCAGCCGTGCTCTGTGGAGGATGAGCCCCCTCCGGCGCCTGCTGGGGCCTATGGCTCTCCAGCCCCCTTCAGCATCCCCTAGACCCACATGCTTGATGGTACGGGGGTCCAGAGGGGGCTTTGTAGGGTGACCATGGCCCCCACGAGCAACCTTTCTGGATACAGGACAGGCTGGAGCGGAAGGGCGAGCCCTACAGCCGGTGCACCAAGAACGGCTCTGACGTCCCCATCCCAAACCTCTACAGCGACCACAACACCACCTACTCCATCCAGGTGGGAAGATGGGGCAGGCCTCGTGACCTTGGCCTGTCCAGATCGACCTGACCAAGGCCTCAGGTCTCTGGGAGAGCTGGTCCCCGCAAGGCCAGCTTTGCTGGAGTTTTGTGACCCCAGGGTGTCCTCGGGGCTACAGAGCCAGTCGGGCCCCTGGGTTCCCACTCAGCAGGTGTGCCCTTGGGCATGCCCAGGATTATAGGGTCTCACTCAGGGGTCCCTCAAAAAGGACTCTGGTGTGTGTGAGATGCTGAGCTAAGGGCTTGCTTGTTTTACATTATCATTTGATCCTTTCAGTACCCCCAACGGGGTAATAATACACTAATTATTAATTATTGTTAGCATTTATTAATATACTAATAATAGCAGGCTTATCAGGGGCTAGGAAGGCACTGTTCCAAGTGCTTCACGTATGTTGACTCATTTAATTCTTACAACACCCCCGAGATGTGGCCACTGTTATTAGGAATGAGGAAGTCGGGATTTACAGCCCCAGGCTGAAGGCCTCATTAAGATTCCTGAGATGCCCCTCTTGTGTCTGGCCTCCATCCCTCTAGCTGCAGCTGGGGGGCTTCCCTCTCGTCCTGATCTCCAGGGTTAGCCCGGGAGGCCTGTCCCCGGCCCCGGCCCCAGTGGAGAGGACAGTCTGAATCCTTGCAAAAGGTACAAAATGACCACTCGCTGATGCTTGCTGTGCCAGCCCAGTCTGCCTTGGCAATGAGGAAAGTATGGCACGACAAGGGGCAGCCCAGTGCCCCTCTCCGTGGCTGAGAGCCCCACATGTGGCATGGTTGTCCCTTTGCCTTAGTCACAGGAAATCCACCTTCCTCCGTGGGCCCCCGCCCGCCCACCCTGTCCGGCTGACCCCGTCCACCCCACGTCTGACCCGGCTGGTTTGGTCTGGAGGGGCTTCTGCCTGCAATGGAGAACTCGGGGAATCTTCCGAGCCTCTGGAGGGCTAGACAGACGGTCAAGGCAGCACAGGGCAGTGGGGAGCATGGAGAACGGGGCCGCAGAGGCCTCCGGCCCCAGCCGTACGGACCTCATTCTGGAAAAACCTCAATTTTGCCTCATCCAGTGCAGTAGCCACTCTGGCCAGAGACCTTGGCAAAGACCCAGGCCTGGTCAGGCGCTCTGTCCGACCAGGTCCTGCCCCATCCCCGGGCTCAGACTTGGGGCCTGGAGAGGACTGCTACCTTCCGGGAGAGATAAGGAGGTCTGGAAGGACGTAGGACGCTGGCCCACAGTCAGGGCTCCTCGTCTGTGCCCTCGCCCCGCCCCAGAGCTGTGCTCCCGGCTGGGCCGTCTCATCTGCCGGCTGCAGGGAGCCCAGGGGCTTGTCAGGGAGAACAGGAGGACCAGACATGGTAGCCAGGGAAGCAGCAGGCGGGAGGAGCTGGAGAGAGGCCACCAGAGCCCTGGCCGGGCTGGGTGAGGCAGGGCCCAGGGAAGTGGAGGGAGCAGGCAGGGGCTGGAGCGAGGAGCCCCCCCATGTCGGGACTTAGGAAACTGGACAGGCGAAGACACCTGAGCAACAGCCGCTTCCACTCTCCGAGTGCTTGCTGAGCGCCACCTGCCAGCTGAACCTCCTGACCTCACCGCACATGTACAACATGAGGAAACTGAGGCTCAGAGGTTAATGACTGGCCTGGGACACACTGGCCTGGGGCTCACTTCCGAGTGGACTGAAACCAGGTCAGAATGACCTCAACCCCAGTATGAGTAGACAGCCGTCACATTTCATCACATCCCTGAGGGGACCTGAGGCCACTCTTCTCCCCTCCCCGCAACCAGGGGACATTCCGCCAACCAGCGCAGCTCACTTCCTCATCCATCAGCTCTGAGCGTTCAAAGATGGTCCTTCTCCTTGCTTTCCCTGAGCGTTTCCCTCCAGGAAGAAGGAACATAGAGCAGACCTGTCTGTCTGCCTCAAGACTGACCTTCCGGGTCCTTCTATGAAAAGGGCTCGGAAGGTGGCTGCAGCCTTGTAACAGGAGCTCTCTCAGTGTTTGCTTTAGTATTTGGAATAAGCCCTCCCTCCCCATGTCCCCTGTGAGGCCCCAACTCTGAAAGGTGGTGGGGGCCATCCTCAGAGAGCTGGGGTGCTGAGGTCTGGCCTGAGTCCCTCTGCGGGGGCCAGGGACAGGGAAGGACAGTCACATCTTACTGTGGGGTCAGTAGGCTCAGCTTGGCTGCTTTCATCACTTCCCAGCCAGAGGGACACCTCCCCTGGCACCCTTCTCCCTTGGCCTGGACCTGAACTTCCCTGGGCCCCATCACCAGTCATGTCTGTGTCCTGCCCCGCCAGGCCTGTATCCACTCCTGCTTCCAAGACCACATGATCCGTAACTGCAGCTGTGGCCACTACCTGTACCCGCTGCCTCGTGGGGAGAAATACTGCAACAACCAGGACTTCCCAGACTGGGGTGAGTGGAGCCCCAGGCATAGGCGCCCGAGCCAGCTGTGCCACTGCCCACGAGGCTCTGACCACAGAGCTCCACGCCCTCAGCAGGGCCTGGGGGTGTGCCCACGCCTGCCCCTCCGCCGTCCGCCGTCCACAGTCCCTCCCTCCAGATCCCCCTCCATTCCTCCAGTCCATGAAGTGCACACTTGAAATGTGCAGGAGTGAATTTGTCCTCCTGGGCACGTGTCTACGTGCCACGTAGATGCCTGCACACGTGTGAACCTGGGTGTGTGGCTGCTGACGAATGCACACGTGTGCGTACATTTATGTTTTCACGTGCACAGGTGAAAGGGCATTTGTGGGTTTGTGTCTCGATACACAAGAGCACTCTGGACTGCCATGAGTGTCTGCACATATGTTTATGCACAGACATGGATTGCTTCCAGTATCTGCATTTGTGCACATTGGTTTGTGTGCACGTGTGTGCATGCACACACAAGACCACATGTATTAGCCTCAGCATGTGTGTCTGTGTCTGTGTGGGCTCACCAGGTCTCTCTGTGAGGCGCTGGGATGGGAAGGAAGAGTGAAGTGGCCTCCAAGGGCTTGAGACCTGAAGCCACAGGAGGAGGAGCCCCTGCTGGGCTCACATGAGGTGGGGTCCAGGCCTGGAGCCCTGGGGGCCTGGAGTCCAAACACCGACGGGTGTGGGCGGCAGAGAGAGTCCCACTGCTTCTTACAACCAACAAAATGTGTAGACATTCTCTCTTCCACCCACCCATCCCTTCGACATGACCCCTTCACCCCATCCCCGGCCAGGAACGGGGACGACAGGCGGAGGGAAGGCTGCCTGATCCTGCTGGGCTGAGTCTGGGGTGTCTGGGGAGAGGCTCCTCCAGGCCAGGCCAGGCACAGTGACTGGAGTTGGCGGGGAGGGACGATTCCCATGACAGGAGAGTTTGCACTGAGATAATTCCCCTACCCAACCTAACCACAGGCCTAGGTGGCCCAGGGCCCGGAGGGCAGAGGGTGCCAGAGGCTCAAAGCAGGAGGAAAGCACCCAGAAACCCCCTGCTCAAAGTCTCTTGCCCTTCCCCCTCCTGCTCAGCCTATTGCTACTCAGACCTGCGCATAAACGTGGCCCAGAGGGAGACCTGCATCAACTTGTGCAAGGAGTCCTGCAAGTGAGTGTGGCCCGGAGACCAGGGCGGGCATGGTGGGGGCAGGGCGTGCCGGGGTGGTGCTGGCGGGGACAGTCACAGGGCTGCCTTCTCTCTTCCAGTGACACCCAGTACAAGATGACCATCTCCATGGCTGAGTGGCCCTCCGAGGCCTCCGAGGTGAGACGGTGGGGCGGCCGAGCTCCTGGCTGCCCATCCTGGGCTAGGGGCAGGTGTGGGCCTAGGCCTGCAGGCCTTTTGGAACTTTGGAGAAGGTGCTCGCTCCCTCCCTGCTTCCTTCCACCAGTGTCCCGCAGGCACTGTGCGGGCCCAGCTGTGAATGAGACAGACAGTCCTTTGCCTTTAGGGAGCTTACATTCTCCTGGGAGAGACGACAATCCACAGAAATAAGACCATTGCAAAGTGTGATGACGCCTGTGTAGGAAGGAAACCGGATGATGAGAGAGTCACCAGGGAAACCACGTTAGAGGGGGTGGTCAGGGAAAGCCTCCCTAAAAAGGTGACATTTGAGTTAAAACCGGAGGATGGGGCTGCACCAGCCTGGGCGGGCTGGGGAGGAGGATGCGGGCAGAGAGAGCAGCAGATGCCAAGGCCAGGGAAGGGAAAGAGCTGGCATGGGACGGCTGGGCCTCTAGACGAAGAGTCCGGAGCCCTGAGTGCCTTCTCCCCCAGCAGCAGCCACAGCGTGCACCACTACCTTCCTCCTCCTCCCCGTGCCAACACATGGTCCCCAGGGGGCTTCAGGAAGATACAGGGCTGTGGTCTGCCTCCCAGAGGTAGCAGGGCACATGATTGGGAGGGAATGCTGCAGGCACCATTTTTCTCAGCTGCCTTCTTGGTTTCCAGGACTGGATTTTGCATGTCTTGTCTCAGGAGCGGGACCAAAGCACTAATATCACCTTGAGCAGGTGAGCCTGGAGTCTGGGCAGGGTTGGGGAAGGCAGAAAAGGGGAGGAACCAGAGCCTCAGGGGAGGGGTTTGGACATAGGGCAGCTACTCAGACACCTTCTCATATTGGTCAGATCCAGGAGCAAGCCTGGAGGAGGAAGCACTGGCAGTGACAGAGAGGCCAGCCAAGGGGACTCAGAGTCTACCACTTCCTAAAGGAGAGCCGGTTCCTCCATCTGTCACCTGTTCATCCACCTATCCACTCATCCATCCACCCATCACTCATCCTTCCATTCTTCCACCCATCTATCTATCCACTCACTCATCCACCCATCCACCCACCCATCCATCCATCCTTCATCCTTCCCATCTTCCAATCATCCATCTATCTACTCACCCATCCATCCATCCACCCCCCCCCACCCACCCATCCACTGATCCATCCATTTATCCCTCCATTATCCATCCTTCCATTCTTCCACTCACCCAGCCTCCATCCATTCAACACAAACATGCATTGAGCACAAGAAAGACACAAAGTCCGTATTATCAGGAAGCTCGAGGCTAGAGAACAGAGATCTGCAAATAGGGCTTATGGTGATGAGAGTCTGTACAAGACCCTCCTGGGGAAGCACAGCAAAGAAGGAGCCTCTGTCTGCCTGCGAGACAAGGGAGGTCTGTATAGGGAGGTGGCACTTGAGCTAATCCTCTGAGGAAGAATAGGAACTGTTCAGACAAATAAGAAGAGACAGAGATGTCCAGGCTTCTGGAGGTGGGAGAGAGCATAGCCTTTCTGAGGACCATCAGGTGTAAGGGGGAAGCCCATTCAGCCACGCTTCTCTGCCCCAGGGCCCCTGACAGGGGAGCAGGGCTTAGGACTCTCTGCAGCATCTACTGTGTATGGGCTGGCCACCCCGGGGGTGGGAGAGAGGAGCTCAGCGGATCCTTGGGGCTGTCTTGGCCGGAGTATCCTTTAGGAAGCTGGTTCAGAAAGGGGCCCACAGGATGGGTGCTGGACAGAGATGCCCTTTGTGGCCTCAGGGCTCAGAGGGGCTGGGAAGGGCAGCACTATTGGCTCTTCCTTGGACCTCACCACTCCTGGGTGTGGGCATGTGAGAAGCTTGAGCGAGAGGAGGGCTGGGGCGGCCCCTTGGCAGCCTTTCCCGCGTGTGTGTGTGTGTGTGTGTGTGTGTGTGTGTGTGTCTCGGGGAGAGGTCACCAGCCCTTCTTGCTGCCTCCTGCAGGAAGGGAATTGTCAAGCTCAACATCTACTTCCAAGAATTCAACTATCGCACCATTGAGGAATCAGCGGCCAATAATGTGAGTTTGGCGGCTTCTGACGCCCCAGCCTGGCCCTGCCACCCCTCTGCCCTGCACTCTGAGGGTGGGGGGGGGGGTTCCCAAGCCCACCAGAGGAATTAGGAAAATCCCTAAAGCAGTCCCAAATGGTTTCCCTGGGCCGAGATAGTCACCCTTCCCCCCCCTCCCAGCTAACAACCCACCACATGGGAACATGTGAGGCTGGGCTCAAGGCAGGAACTGCGGCCTGACCCCCGCTCCTGCCAGGCCCTCAGTCCCCTGCTCCCCACAGATTGTCTGGCTGCTGTCAAATCTGGGCGGCCAGTTTGGCTTCTGGATGGGGGGCTCGGTGCTGTGCCTCATTGAGTTTGGAGAGATCATCATCGACTTTGTGTGGATCACTGTCATCAAGCTGGTGGCCTTCTCCAAGAGCCTGCAGCGGAGGCGAGCCCAGGCTCACTATGCCAGCCCGCCGCCCACCGTGGCTGAACTGGTGGAGGCCCACACCAACTTTGGCTTCCAGCCTGACGTGATCAGCCACAGCCCCACCACCGGGACCTACCCCGATGAGCAGCCTGTGCCCATCCCGGGCACCCCACCTCCCAATTATGACTCCCTGCGCCTGCAGCCACTGGACGTCGTGGAGTCTGACAATGAGGGCGATGCCATCTAGACCCTGTTCCTGCCCACCCCGGGTGGCCAAAGAACTCAGACCTGAGAAGCAAGATCATTGCCTAAGGCCTCATTTTATGGTGCCCTCTCCAAAGGGCTGGGACAATAGGTGTCCAAGGCCAGAGTCTGTGTCCCTCTAAAGGGAGACCAGCATCTCCCAGCCAGTCCCAGGCCGAGGGCTCCATAGGGTCACCGTGCTGGTACAGATGCGGGCACTGTGTGCTCATTTGGTTCCTGCCCACACCCCCAACCTGTCCTGATCTTTGGCCTGGGATGTCCCCAGCCAGGCCCCAGAGACCCTAGAACACCCACCCCTGGTGGCAGGCCACTTCCCTCCCAATGCCAGTCACCATCTTCTCCAGAGGTGAACAGATGGGCACGCCGGGCTATCTGTCGCCAGAATCAGCAGTCCTTTCCTCCCTGGCCTCGGCTGACCTCTGTGAATGGGTGTGGTGAGGGCAGCGGTTGTGGAGGCAGGATGAGCACCAGGTGTGGGGCAGAGCTGCCAGGTGGCACATGTTTTGTTCTAGAAAATAAAACTAGAAGACACCAAGTTGAGCTTGGTTCTCGGTCCAACTTCAGGCTGGAGCACCCTGAAGCATCTCTGGGGTGGAAGGGCATCCGTACTGCCTTGAGGGGAAAGGCCCCCAAGCAGGTGGTTGTTAAAGTCCTTTCAAGTTGTCCCTGAAGCAGTGGCCTTATGACTTTCTCAGTGCCACCCAACTTAGTTCTTTGGGTTATAAGAACAGAGAGAGAAGGAGAGAAAGAAGGAGGGAGGGAAGGAAAAATTCAGGTCAGGCCCCCTGTCTCTCTCTGCTTTCCCAGGCAGGCTCTCCTTACAGTGCAGCAAAAAAGGCCATGGGCGGGGGCCGGCCTGGTGGCGCAGCGGTTAAGTTCGCACATTCCGCTTCTCAGTGGCCCAGGGTTCACCGGTCCGGAACCCGGGTGCGGACATGGCGCCGCTTGGCACGCCATGTGGTAGGCATCCCACATATAAAGTAGAGGAAGATGGGCACAGATGTTAGCTCAGGGCCAGGCTTCCTCAGCAAAAAGAGGAGGACTGATAGTTAGCTCAGAGCTAATCTTCCTAAAAAAAAAAAAAAAAAAAAAGAAAGGCCATGGGCAACACCAGACTCACACCTCTCCAGCTCGGCAAACAGCTTGGGGCGAGCCTCTCTGTCCTAATTATCCCCCAAGTTCCCAGGCTCATTCCCATTGGTCACTGATTGGGTCACATGCTGTCTCTGAACCAATCAGTGTGACCAGCTGGGGGGCTGCTCCGATTGGTCAGACCCTGCCCATCCCTGAGGCCAGGTGGCTGCCAGCAGAATCATGTGTTCCCAGGGTGGTGGGGACATGGCATCTAGGGGTGCCAGATAAAATACAGGCCACCAAGTTAAATAGGAACTTCAGATAAACAATACATTTATTTTTTAGTAGAAGTATGTCCGTGTAATATTTGGGGACCTATTATACTAATAAATCATTAGTTTTTCTGAAATTCAAATTTAACTGAGCATTCTGTATTTTTAGTTGCTAAATATGGCAACACTAATGATTCCCCAAAGAGAGATCAGGGAGCTGTCACCAAAGAGGAATGGGCCCTGCTGTCACCTGCCGGACGCGGAGGTGAAGGCACTCGGGCTTCACAGCCCTGCTGTTCTGGAACACCTGGCTTACTGGCCGGAAGGCAGACCAGCTGCCCCCCATCAAGTGCCCACGGTGGCACCTGTGGAGGAAGGAGGTGCCACGGACCTGGTGCCACTCCAGCCAGCCGCAGGGAGCACGCCTGGGAGTGAGTGGGGAAAGCCTGGGGAGCCAGGTCTCCCTGCTCAGGGCCGGCAAGGCTACAGGCTGGAGTCACGTTCCTGGCGGTTACCATATTTACCATGATGACGACAACTTTATTATTAGCGGTGGTTGTCACCACACAGATGACCATTTATTGTTCTTATTAAACAATGGCTACATTGTATCAAACACCGACCACATGCTAGGCACCAGGCCATGTACTTTATAATCTTACTGCATTTAATTCTCATAACCACTGAGAAATATTATCATCTCATTTTACAGGTAAGTAAATTGAGACTTGGAGAGGTGAAATAAGGTACCCAAGATCACTATCATAGTAAGTGACAAAGATGAGACTCTAGACTCATCCTCTTGCTGCCAGTGGTCATAAGAACACCAGTGCCTTACAGGAGCCTGGGGCTTTCATATTTATTGTCTCATCTGATGCCATGGGGCAGGCAGAGCAAATTGTTATCTGTCTCCTTTTGCCAGCTCATTGACCAAAGTTAACTTGAACTGACTTAAACTAAAAAAAGGGAATTAATTGGTTCTTGTAACAAAAGTACAGGCATTTCAGGCATGGCTGTATCCAGGGGTTCACCTAGATCTGGTGATTTCTCTAGCTACTGGCTTTACTTTCTTCTGTGTTGATGTCCCTCTCAAATTGGTTCTCTCCATGTGCTGCTCTTCCCCTCACTGTGCCAGGCTCCATTCCCTCAGCTCAGCAACCACAGTGGGAAGAAAGCTCCTCCTTCAGAGTGTCCCAGCAAAAGCCCCAAGAATGGGGCTCATTGATCCTCCTGGGCCACGTGCTCATCCTGAACTGCGAGAGGTTCTGTTGAGACACTTTGCAGCAGGAGCGAGAAGGGCGCTCCCTGCCCTAGAGCTGCCTGTAGGTGCATGAGACGGGGCCAGGTGACAGTGGGCGTCAGCTGTCATCCCTGCTCTCAGGGCAGTGCTCAGGCCCAAAGTGAAGATGGACAATGGCCCCATCTCTGAAAGCAGGCTCTGAGTCAGACAGAGGGGCATTTCCTCCATTTCTCCAGGTCTGGAAGAGACAAGTGCTGCTCTGTTCCTACACTGGGAACTTCAGAGCTGTTGAGGACTCAAAAATGAGGCTGGTAGGGCTCGAATTCCCCAGAAAATGGCATTCTGAATTCCCACCTCTACCCCAGAGGGGAGGCAGGTTATAGATACTGGAGGACTAGGAAATTCACGTTTATCATGCACTAAGGACATGCTGTTGCCTTGCTCTGTCTCCCTGGCTCTTCAAATAACCCTATGGTTAGGTGCCATTATGACCCCCATGTTTCAGATTAGGAAATGAGGCTCAGAGAGGTGAAGTGACATTCCCAAGGTCACACAGCTGGGAGGTGCAAAGCTGGGAGTTAAGCCCAAGCCTGTCCCCTCAACACCTATGGCTCTCGTGGACACTGGCCCAAAGGTCACCCCGAAGAGCTTTCCACTTCCCAGCGGCACGTCTCACCTTCCAGGTTTCCAGCTCTCATTTCTCTGGAGCAGGAGCTGGGCTCAGCCCCTGCCAGGGACAGTTGGTGATGCATCACATGAGAAACCAAAATATTTTTCTTTGTGTGGGTTCTCAGCTGATGCTCTTTCCGGGCCAGCAAAACTGGTTCCAAGGATGTGAGGACAGAATGTGTGGGAACCCCTGGACGACAGACCCAGTGGGACACTTGCCCTGGCAGCTGGGGGGCTGGTTCACGAAAGGCTGGGCTGGGGGGCTGCCACTCCGGAGGACAGTCACAAGCAGGCTGACCCGCTGGGAGTCGGTGTCACGCTGCATGCCTCCCATCCAACAGTCAGGATGCAGGCGCACAGACGCCAGGCTCGCTCCGAACCCCAGGCCTGGCACGTGGCAGCTGAGTGACTCTGGGGAACTCCTAACCGTCTCCACACCTCTGTTCCTTGTGTAAGATGGACAATACTCCCTGCCTCCCGAGGCTCACATGAGGCGTGGGGGAGAGACAAGTCAAGCTTGCCCGTCCTGGAACACAGTGCGTGCTCAGCTCCCATAAAGGACTACAGAAGCCCCATCTGTTCAGGGCAGCAGCAAGCCCAGCCCAGGCAACCAATCCTGACTGTCTAAGCCAGGGTTTCTCTCCTGGAGGTGACATGGCCCCTGGGCCACATCTGGAGACATTCTTGGCGGTCACAACTAGAGGAGGAGCACGGGCATCCAGCAGGGAGGGGCCAGGGATGCTGCTGACCATCCTACGACGCACAGGACAGCCTCAGAACAACAGCTCTCCAGCCCAAAGGGCAGCAGCACCGAGGCTGGCAGAAGCAGTCCTGTTCCCTTCGTTCCCAGCCTCCCTTGCAGGTGGGGGATGCCTGGGGACCAGAAATGGCCAGTGAGGCCTAGGAGCAAGTTGGCGGGGGCTTCTGGGAAGGCCTTTGCCTCCCCCTGTGGAAGGGTCAGGATTGCCGCTCGGCCGCACCCTCTCTGGTTTCTTCCTCCCTGGACACGGATGCCACACCTGCAGCTGCAGGAGTCGCCCTGCGAGGATGAGGCATCCAGCCTGGGGGAAAGAAAGGTCGAGACCACAGCGGGGCTGGTCCCTGTCCTGGCCGCCCAACCACTAAATCAGTGCCCATAGCTGCCACCATGTGACTTCTTGTTACTGAGAAAAATCAACGCCTATTTGTTTAAGTCACTCAAATTACGTTATTCTGTTACTTGTAGCCAAATACAATCTTAACAGATACAGAAGATATTGGCAAAAAACCTGACAGAATCCACATCATCCTGTGAGTTTTAAAAAACGAAAAAGGAAAAGCCCAAGTTGTTCCTTTGGCTACAGGACCTCGAGGCTCTGGCCCCTTCCTCTCTGACCTTATTTCCTACGCCTGCTTCCACGCTGCTGACCACAGACTGCAGGGTCTGGCCTGAGCTCTTCCCTCCACCAGAATGCTCCTCCCAGAGCTCTTTAGCACACGCGTCTCTCATCCTTTAGGTCTCGGGGTTGCCCCCCCACCTTATCCCAGCCGCCTTCCACCCTGACGCCCTCTTTGTCCCTCGCACTAACGTCTGACACCATCTCCTCTTGGTTTACCTGCTGATTCTCCCTCCCTCCTTTTCCCACTGCCGGCTTTCTTCCCGCCGCGTCCCCAGTGCGAACAGCACGGCACATGGGAAGGACAGACGCTCACTGAAGAAAGAAGGACGAAAACAGCCTTCTTTCATTTCACAGTATTTATTAAGTCCATTTTTAAGATCAGATCACTTAAAAAAATCATCTGAAAATCCCTCTTATAAATAATAAACCTCTAATTTACAAGGGTTTTTTTGATTATAATACGAAGCAAGTCTTTTTGAAATAAACTGCCCACTCCTGGGCGGGTTTGAGAGCGATTCTATTCTGGAGAGTTGCTGTGAGCCAGTGCCCCAGCCCTGACCCCCTCTCAGCAGCTGCGCGGCAGGTCAGTAGTCCACGCTCCGCATGGCGGCCACCGTGGCAGCGAGGCGGCGGGGCAGGCCTTTGCTGACCTGCCTATAATCCTCCGGTTTGGCCTTCAGGAGCGTCACGATGTTCTGGAGGGTGCGGGAGGGCTGCAGGCCCAGGGCGTCCATCACGTTGATCAGGTAGTCTGCGGGAGTGGGGAGCAGAGACACGCTCGACAGGCTCAGCACCAAGCGGGACAGAGCCCCAGGAGCCCTCCCCTGAGTAAGAAGCAGAGACCGGCCCCCAGCCCCCAAATGCTGGTGCCTGCGCTGCTCTCAGAGTGGGGCTTTCCAAGAGGGGCAAACCTGACGGTGCACTGGCCG